AAATATTATTTAATTAAAACTCACTCATTACAGTACCTAACAAAGTAACAAATGGAACAGCATCACGTAATCTATAATTATCTAAAGCAGACACATTGAGTAAGACATAATAAAAGTTTCATTTTGTTTCATGTTTTTTTTTTTTTTTTCTATTTTTTTATTTATTTTTACTTTCTTCTCTGTCACTATTCATTTCTCTCTCTTTCTTCTTTGTGTTTGTGGATCATCAATCTTCCTGCCTGCTAAAGCAACAGTTTTTGATAAATTTGTATTTGTTATCTTTCAAAACAATCCATGGCCCCACACTAGTCACGCTCTCTCTCATATAACTCTCTAACTAAGTGCTTTGTGCTTCAAAATGGTCACCAAAAACCAGAACCGGCCTCCATTATCACTCACATCCACACCTCCACCTCCTTCAAAGGTACCCTTTTGTTTTTTCCCATTTCTATATTCGTTTTTCCAATCTCGACCTCAGTTAAAATCATGGGTTGTTCTTGTTCTTCAATTTTACTACATCACCATGCTTAAAAATATTGTCTTTTTTCATGCTGAGGTTTCAGAATTTTGAGGGTGATGTGCTCCTCCTAGACAACATAGAGCAAAGAGTTGGAGCTGAGAAAATGGTGGGCACTCCAATTAATGGCACTCCGATTAATGGAAGAACAAGGCAAGCTTTCACAGTTGTCAATGGCGGTGGCCATGATCTTGGCCCCAGTAGTACTCCTCCAAGCAATGCTGGATCGGATTATGGTGCCATAGAGTTCACAAGAGAGGATGTGGAAGCATTGCTAAATGAGAGAGCCAAGAGAAAGGACAGATTTAATTATAAGGTCTATTGAAGTTTGGAATTTCAATTGTCGAGTGTGTTGCTTGTTCTGATATTTGGACTTGAGATCGAAGTGTGAAGGGTCGATGGCTTTAAGTGTTGTTTGATTTACATGGTACAAAGTGTTACTTGAATTATTGCTTGATTATTCATATGTTAACATCAAACTCCTCTATTTTTAGGAAAGATGTGAAAATATGGTGGATTATATAAAAAGACTCAAGGTTTGTATCAGATGGTTCCAAGACCTTGAGATGTACTACTCATTAGAGCAGGAAAAGTTAAAGAATTCACTGGAATTGACCCAGCAAAAATGCATAGAAATTGGTAAGTTTAGTTTTAAATTTTCTCCCGTTCAATTGTGAAACGCCCTTGTTGATTTTGACTATTCAAATGCCTTGAATTATAGAGTTGCTGCTTAAAATCAAGGAAGAAGAATTAAATTCAATTATTACTGAAATGAGAAGGAATTGCATTTCTTTGCAAGAAAAACTGATAAAGGAAGAAACCGAAAAGTCGGTAAGAAAGATCTTTTAGTCAATTGGATTTGAAAACTGGAATACAAAAATAGTGAAAGGAAGTGTTTAGCAAAAAACTTTAAACTTTTTATTATCTTTGTAAATGCAAGGCTGCAGTGGAATCCCTTACTAAAGAGAGAGAGGCTAGGCTTGACATTGAGAGGTCACACAGTACTCTGTCAGAGGACCTTGGAAGAGCCCAACGAGAAATACAAAGTGCAAATCAGAAGGTAAAATACTACAATTCCAGTTCAATGAATTTCCTTGATTCTTTCCACTTCTCGATTTTTTTCAATTGTTGTGTGAATTATGCTGATAATTAAATGTTTTCATCTTGAATTTCTCTGCAGATAGCATCACTGAATGAAATGTATAAGCGCTTACAGGATTACATAACAAGCTTACAGCAGTACAATGGAAAACTTCATTCTGAGCTTTCATCGGTTGAAGATGAACTCAAACGCGTAGAGAAAGAGAAGGCTACTGTAGTGGAAAACATCACCATTTTAAGGGGTCAACTTACTGTATCAGTCGTGAGTTTTCTTTCACATCACACTGTTTCAACTCAAAATTCAAGTAAACTATCTATCTATCTATCTATCTCTCTCTCTCTATATATATATATATATAAAACTTGCTATGTATGTAGATACATAGAAAAGTCTTGTGATGAGCACTAAAATGTGGAAGTTGCAATTTTTGCAGATATGAATAGATGATTAGGGAGAATATTATGATTTATTCGTTCTTTATTGTCAACTGGGGATGATTAGATGAATGCTTGTATATTACATTGAATAATATCATGTACATTCGAAAATTCTTCTATAGGCTTTTTGAATGACTGGGCTATATCTCCTAGGAAGGTTAAAGAACTGAAAGTACCAATATCATTCCAACTTTAGTTGATTGCAGAGCTTTAAGAGATGATATAATATTTATTTTATATTAATTTAGGCATTTGATTTAGCTTTACTATCTTTCACAAAATTTCCGATTCCGATAACCATAGTTATTGAACTTGATTTTCTGTCTTTTTTGTACTATCTTTATTTCTTACTTATCATGCAGCTGGTATATTACCCAGTTTTCTTGGTTCTTTTATTAGTCTTCACAAGAAGAGGCCATAAAACAGAAGGATGTCCTGGCTACAGAAGTTTCTTCTCTTAGAGGAGAGTTGCAGCAAGTAAGAGATGAGAGAGACCGGCAATTATCTCAAGTACAAACTTTAAGTTCTGAATTAGAGAAAATTAAAGAATCTACAAAACAGTCCTCCACTGAATTGGACAGCTTAACACTGAAAGCGAGTGACCTGGAGGTTGGTGTGTATTTTCCATTTCTTTTTATTAAATAGAAAGTCATTTTGTTATTATTGAGTCATGAGAGGATGAGTTTCCTTCCCAGGTAAAATGTGCTTTGAAAGATAATCAGATAAAGGCATTGGAAGATCAGCTAGCAACTGCAGAGAAGAAACTGGAGGTAATTAAGACAATTTTTTTTAGGTGTATACCATTTGGTATAAAACCATTTGATACATCGTTAGATAAAGACCATAATCATTCATGAACTTTTATGTAATAGTTGTAGTTTTTAAGAGAGTTGGCCTTGATATGGTATTAGAACCTTTATGATCAAATCATTGTGTCCCCATTCTTCTATTAAAAAAAAATTATTTTTAATGTAAGGTAGAGTGAGTTTATGCATTGTCCTTGCTTAAGATCAAAGTGATCTTGCTTGAGGAACTTGTTAGATATAAAACTATCCATAAACCTCTGCCTAACAACTCAAGCTTGGGAGAGTTAGTCCTTGACATATGCATTTTGATGAGTATCTGTCAAACTTATTGTTTTTGATTCTTGTTAGGTGTCCGATATATCTGCATTTGAGACAAGGACAGAATTTGAAGGACAACAGATATTTGTTAATGAGTTACAAAGACGTTTGGCAGATGCAGAATATAAACTTATAGAAGGGGAGAGGCTTCGTAAAAAATTGCATAATACGATTTTGGTAATTCACTAAATTAAAATATTTGTTGATGATAATAATAAAAAAATTCAACACGGTCATAATCTTAATTTCAACAGGAGTTAAAAGGGAACATTCGAGTATTCTGTCGAGTGAGGCCTTTATTAGCTGACGAAAGTTGTAGCACAGAAGGCAAGATTTTCAGTTATCCAACGTCAATGGAAACTTCTGGACGAGCCATTGACCTAGCCCAAAATGGTATATCTGTTGTAATAATATAATTGAAACTATTTTTATTTCTTCTTGGTTGAATTAGATTATGTTGCCAAAATGTCAACTCATGTTGCTCTTGTTTTATTCATAGGCCAAAAGCATGCCTTTACCTTTGATAAAGTTTTTACACCAGAGGCATCACAAGAAGAAGTTTTTGTAGAAATTTCACAGCTTGTACAAAGCGCTCTCGATGGTTATAAGGTAAGTTTAAAGTTGTTGTCTCTTCAATATGTGAACCCTTGTCCAGTTACTATCAATTTTGGAAGAGCATAATTCTGAAACCCTTTATTTTTATGCTCACTTTTATTTTGCGTAACATATTTTTACCTTCTTTGCTATGGTTGTTGGATTTGGTGTTGGATGTTGGTTTTCTTGCATACTTGTTTGTTGTATACATGCATGTATAGGAATATGATGATAGTTTTCCTTTTCAGGTTTGTATATTTGCCTATGGTCAGACAGGTTCAGGGAAAACCTATACAATGATGGGCAGGCCTGGACATCCAGAGGAGAAGGGCTTGATACCTCGTTCATTAGAACAAATATTTCAGACAAAGCTGTCTCAGCAACCTCAAGGCTGGAAATATGAAATGCAGGTAAGGTAGAGTATTTGTCTTCTTAATTTCACACATCATTGCAATGAGTGTAAATTTTAAATAAGTTGCAGAATTGATGATAAGGTTTTCCTTGCAAAATTTACAGGTGTCAATGTTGGAAATATACAATGAAACGATTCGAGATTTGATATCTACAACAACACGTGTGGAAAATGGGACTCCTGGAAAACAATATACAATCAAGCATGATGCAAATGGAAATACACAAGTTTCAGATCTTACAGTGGTGGATGTTCAAAGTGCAAAAGAGGTTGCATTTCTTTTAAATCAGGCTGCAAATAGCAGGTAACTAGTTTACAGAGTTTATTCTATCATGTATTGTTAGGTGTAACAAATTAATAAATATTATTACCTCAATAAGACACCACAAATTAAATTTCCATTTTCTGAATAGAATCGTATTCCTACACTTCTTGATGTATTAAAAAAATATCATTTTTTTAGCTTTGAATAGGATTAAGAAAATGAGCAATTGGTTAGGTATAACATAATAATTTGACAAATTTCAGTGTAAGAAAGTATTCATTTATTGTTTCTATAGTAGTCAAAATTCAAACACTTAGCTTTTTGTCCAGCTTAACTGTATTTAATTTTTTTGCTGATTATGTCCTTTAGATCTGTGGGAAGAACCCAGATGAATGAACAATCATCAAGAAGTCATTTTGTGTTCACTCTTCGAATATATGGTGTAAATGAGGTATAGATGTTTCTCTATAACAACCTTGTTATATATATCAACCATTGATAGACACACTGACTTGCTTCACAATGCAACCTGTTTTATATTTCTTCTAGAGCACTGACCAACAAGTACAAGGTGTTTTGAATCTAATTGATCTTGCTGGTAGTGAGCGTCTTTCAAAAAGTGGATCAACTGGGGACCGGTTGAAAGAAACTCAAGTATGTAAAACCATGGTGCTTTTCACTTTCACTTGTACTTATTAGATTTCAAATGGTTTTAACTCTCTTTCATTTGTGATCAGGCAATCAACAAAAGTTTATCATCATTGAGTGATGTTATATTCGCCTTAGCCAAGAAGGAAGATCATGTGCCATTCAGGAACTCAAAGCTTACATATCTGCTTCAGGTAATGCATTTTTGTTCTTTCACATGGCATTTTTGAAGAACTTAATCAAAATGTAACAAATGTAACAAATGTAAAGAGTTTCTACACTGTCATCTAATCATATATCATCCTGCATTGGAACTTGATCAAAGTCTTCTCCGGGATGATTTCTGATTGGTTGATTGTGTAAATTTTTGTATGTGCATGGCAATTAAACTCTTTTCTGCATTTCAATCTACAATATTGATGATTTCTTTATTGCTGCCCCTGAATGATTTGAGATGGTCTAATAATAATGTCTTGAACATGATGGATGGACAGCCATGTCTAGGTGGAGACTCCAAGACACTAATGTTTGTGAACATTTCACCTGACCCTTCTTCAGTTGGTGAGTCACTATGCTCACTCAGGTTTGCATCAAGAGTGAATGCTTGTGAGATTGGAACACCAAGGCGTCAAACCAATGGACGCACTATAGAGTCTCGCTTGAGCTATTTCTAATCTTCAAGAATCTGTATTTGATTTTTTAACCATTTGTGGCAAACAAGTGCCCGTGTGAGAGAATACCATGATAAAATGAAGATGAGATTCTAACAGCGGCATATAGCTTGTATAGTAAAGAAAGTTACTAAGCATGCATTTAGAACCCATTATAGTAGCTCAATTTGTTATTCTGCATAATATTATGTATTTATTTCTAACATTTTTCTGATACAAATTGGAAAGGGAATTGTTTGTGATAGTGGAAATGGAACACTCGTTTGATTACAGAGCATATCAATTCAAAGATTTTATTATATTTCCAAGAGTGAAAAAACATAGTTTTTGGTTGTACCATTTGTCACAGAATAAATAATACACATCAATTAATAATACATATCTAAATTAAACACTTTCTAAAAATGTTAAGGATTCATGGGAACACGGTTGTATCTAATAATTTTTTAGATGACCAAATTAAAAAAAAATTATAAATTATGATTAATTTAAATACAAATTTTAAAAAAATTAGAAAAATTATGTGAGAGAGGTTTTATAAATTAACTTGTTGCATGTAAGCAAAAATTTTGGGATTCTTTCGAATGACGTGCAAATAAAGTACATTGAATGTGTTACTTAATTAGCTGATAAGCTTAACCAAAATCATTTGAGCAGTTAGAGATAAGGTTGGTTTATGATAATCATCATCATATAATATGCAGACAAAGAAACCTGTCAAATATAAAAGAAAAAGTATATTGTTTATATATATTAATAATGAAAGTTTACAAAAATTATATAAAAGTTTTAGTTTATAAAAAAAATAATATTTTGTTTTAAGAAGTTCGTTCTCAATATTTAAATTGTCAGTATTCGTAACACGTTTTTTTTTTCAATATCTTGTTGGTATTTTAAAAAGTTAAGTTTTTTATGCTATTAAATATAATGTAGTAGTTATCAAAACAATTTTCTTCTCTATTTTAAGTTGATCTTGTTGATTTGGTTCTTTAGATTTGATTTCTCGTTATTATTTTGACTTGGTCTCCGGGTATAAATATATATATATATATATATTTGGAAAAAATTATACAGAGTTTTTTCTCTTACATCTTTTCGTTCTATTTATTGAGTATATATATTCTCATTAAAATCATAAGCCTGAGTCATGTTTAATTTCCGTATATAATATTAACTTGGTATAAACTTTTTGAAATTTGACTTACACGAATAAGTTGTTTTTTTATCCATGAAGTAAGTGAATGTAGAAGAAGAATTTGAAAAGTAAGAAATTGTGTATTGTGGCGTAGATTCCATCGTTTATTATTGTTTTAGGCGGCTAAACATATGATAATGAACTATATATATATAAGCAAGAGCTTCACCATAAATTCCCCCAGTTTTAAATTAAACGATAAAAATACGAGAAAATTTATGCTACTTGATGATGGGAGAGTTTTAGTATGATTATTTTTTTAACCTAAAGAATCATTTTGTTGGATACTAATTAAACAACATCTAATCAAAGTTTAGTTTACATAAAATTATTTATAATTATATAACACCACGTTAACATTGATTCGTTTTTGAATTAATACTTTTTTATGTCCCATAATAATTTTCATATAAGAATTATACTACTAATTAACATTGTAGAAATTAAATTCAAACTTATTATCACTTTGTTTGGATAACAGAATAGAGTTGAGGGAGTGAAAAATATCGATTTGAGAGAAAAGAGACGTGAAAATAAGATTTTTTAGATTGAAAAAAAAATGATAAGAAATGTATGAAAATAAATGAAAGTTTGTAAAAATTTATAAATGATTTGATTGGTGTGGATGATAAAAAATATTTTAATATAAAAAATTTGAAGATGGTTAAATTGCCTTAGTGATAATCAATTCTTAACGAAGAATTAATCCTCTGATAGAGATATTTGTATAAATTATACGAAATAAACTATTTTTCTCGTATCATTTTCTCACTCAAAAAAGAAACTCTACCCTCAAATTTGTACTCTTGTGTATTCTCAAATATACTCTATTCACTTAAAAGAAATATAAAAATTATTCATTATTTTATTCATATTCTCGTGTATTCTCAAATATACTCTATTCACTTAAAAGAAATACGAAAATTATTCATTATTTTATTCATGTAAACATTATATTATTATAAACAAACACAACCTATGGTTAGTAAAAATCATTATATTTTATTAGGACCAGAAAGAAAAATTGTTATATTTATTAAGAATATAAAATCTAAGCTGTTGTATTTGTAGGAATGTAAAACATGTGGGACTGACTCTTTTTCTAGCTTCTAGCAATCTTCATAATAATAATTTTTCCTTTTCTTTTGGTTAGGAGTGGTAAGTGCTGTGCTGATATTTTCTCAGAGTATTATATATATATATATAAATCAATATTTTGAAGAAGCAGATTCAACAGAAGGAAATGGAAGGCCAAAAACAGCTCTTAAAGTCCAAGGTTGTGAAAATTAACTCAAGAAAATCATGGGAACACCACATCACTGATGCTACCAATAAAGGCTTCCCTGTGAGTCCCATTTGTTTTCTTTAGATTCATATAGTTATTAATCTCTCTACATTTCTACTTACTACAATTGGTTGGTTAAGGACTGTGCTTCAAATAGCACTAAAGATGAATGAATGAATGTTCTCATGTGCAGTAATGGTCTATTCATAGCTCTCTCATGCTTCCTTTAAATAATTTGCAGGTTATGGTTCATTTCTCTGCTTATTGGTGCATGCCCTCTATAGCTATGAATCCTTTCTTTCAAGAACTGGCCTCCACCTATCAAAATGTTCTCTTTCTTAATGTGGATGTTGATGAGGTCAAGGTAACTCTTGTGTATAACCTATAGTGGGAAAGGTCTTTCTTCTTGGCATGGTGTTTATAAAAAACTGTTCAGTCATATGCCACCACATCTTTGAGATTTCCAATTCATCTATTTCTATGTCAGTGCTTCTATTGGCAGAACATGCCATGCTATTTAATGTCCACAGTGAATCATGTAAAGGGTTGTCCAGAAAAACTATTTCCTAATGCAGTGTCACTAAAAAGTGACCTATTATAATAATATATATCTATCTTTTATTATCCTTATGGATGGTTTGAAAGGACAAATTCTGTGCATGATTTCTCAGTATATATCACTTGTGTTCATAATTCACTGAACTCTTTTTGTTCTACTGATGTGTGCATTTTTTTGTTCTGTCTAAGAAGTTGCCTCCATTTGTTTTGATTAGTGGAGGAGCTCTGGTGGATAAGACTGTTTACTTTAGGATTCCAACCCCAACTTTGAGGTCATGTGGACTGTTTTATGTCAGTACACATAATTTATTAAAATTAGGTTTCAAGCCTTTTAACTTAAAATAATGGCATTATTGGTCGAAAACAAGTGTGAGTTTGCTAATGATATCAATTGGTGCTTATAATAATATCCTGTTTAATTTTTCTTGGGTGGTTTCAAGAGACAAATTTTAATGCATAATTGTTGAGTGTCACTTGTATTCACAATTATTCTCTTAACCAACTTTTCTGTTCTACTGCTGTGTGTGGCTCTGTCTAGGAAGTTGCTTGCAAGTTGGAAATCAAAGCCATTCCTACCTTTTTGTTGATGAATGGAGGAGCACCAGTGGACAAAACTGTGGGTGCAAACCCTGATGAGTTAAGGAAAAGAATCAATTGTTTTATTCACCACAAAAATTCCCTCAAGTGAATGTGATGATGCATGAACACATTAAACAGAATGTGGCAGAGGAAGAAGACCTATTATTATGCATTTTCTCTTGATAGGAATCATTCCTCCTCCAAGTTGTTGTTGATCTTTTATCATTTGTAAAATATTTGGTGTGGACAAGGGAATATATTTGATATGAAAAGGCAAGTTGCTGTATTATAAAATGGTATTTCAGGCTGCTAGTAATTTAATTTTAATTTTCTGTTCGAATATTCTTTGTGTCTATCGTTCTTTTAATTAATAATTAATAATTAAATATCTTATTTTTTATTTTTAGAGATGTTAAAATAAATTTAATTTAATTGGTTGATTAAAAAATTTAAAAAATAAGTAAGGACAAAATAATTTATAAATTAAATTAAATTAAACTTATTTTAAATCGAGTATATAAATTAAGGTAAGACTAGTCATAGGTTCATAAGTAAACTTATTTTATAAAATAATTAATTTTTTAAAAATAAAATAAAAATAATTTTATTTTATTATATATATATATATATATTATAAATTAATTTGACTAAAATTTAAATATTAAAATAAATCTATAATAAATATTTATTTTAAAATTTAATAATTAAGATTAATTACTACTCTAAATTAATAAATAGTGATAATAAGAATGAAAATTTTAATTTTAATTTTAATATTAAATATTAAATAGATATATTTTTTTATAATTTATATATTAAATTATTATATATTAAATACAAATTAATTTTATTAATAATATATTTTTAAAATATTTTTTATTTTTATTTTACTATTTTTAAATTAATTAATTTTGTATAAATATGTTAATATCTAAAAAAATTCAATCATATCAAAATTGATTTTTTAACCCATTAATTTCATATAAAAAATTTAAAAATTTTACTATTTTTAAACCCATTAATTTTGTATAAATATGTTAATATCTAAAAAAAATTCAATCATATTAAAATTTTAGATCCGTTTTAAAATATACATCTTATAAAAAATTTTCACTTATTTTATAAAATTAAGCCAGACCTTGACTCACTCATTTTGACAACAATGTTTATTAAATATAACATTTTTTAAATAATTTTAGTGGACTAATTCTTTTAATTAATAATTAAGATAAAAATAATTAAAATTTAAGAAGGAAATTTCACCCTTGTTGATTTTATGTACTAAAATAAATTTATAAAATGTGTTTCTAGTAGTTTTTTATAATAATTTCTTTTGAGAGAAAAAAATTAAAACATAATTCTTACATGCATGTCATAGAGAAAAAAAAATAAATCTAATCTAAACATAAAGATATAAATTTAATTTGATATGCTCTAATTAAAAAGTAATTTGAATCAAATGAAATGATATATTTTGTAAATGTACGATAATATATTCATTATTTTAAATGTAATAAGGTTTTAAATATGCTCACGTAAAAATAACTAGACAATGTTGCATGGTTGTGTGTATGGTAGTAGGAGTTGACATAACAGGAAAAAAATTCTATTCCAAAGATATAGAAAAAGAAATTACATATTCAAACAAAAGATTCAATCGTGAATAAAATTAACTGAATAAAAATATGACTATATTAAAAAATAATATATTTTTTCTTTAAGAAAAAAAAAAGAAGAAGAAAACGAACAAAGCCTGATTTAAAAAGTGTGAGAATCCATAGAAGTGTAGGCCTGAAGCCCAAGTCCAAAAGTGGAACTGTTTTATCGTAGTAGCTGACGACGAAGAATTACCAGTTGCCAATTTGCGACCAATTTTGCCACCACATTTCCCTTTCCCAGAAAAATTTAATAATAATAAACTAATATTCATAATCATATTTATTAATAATTAATAATTTATCAAATTTCTTATTTAGTTTATAAATACTTAGAAAAAAAAAAATCCAAGAATTATATTCGCTGTTAAAAATTTCGAAACAAATTTATTATTAAGTTATACTACTACTAATAATATTTAAAAAACATAATATTTTTTTAAAATAATTCTCACCTACCTACGTGTTCAGGAATAGAAAATGGTGTATTTCCAATAAAAAATAGTAAATGAGTTATCTTTTTCACCATTCTTCTTCTCGGAACTTCAAAACGTGCAAGCAAACCCCACACCACGCACCACACACACTCCCTGTTTGTTTCCCAGGAAAACAAAGCAATACAACAACGCGTTTTCCCTGCGGGAAAATCCTCAATTTTCCCGGAACCGAACACCAACAATGGTTTCCCGGGAAAACACCAATTGGCTCTTCGATTACGGCTTAATTGACGATATTCCCGTCCCCGATGCCTCCTTCACCGTCCCTTCCTCCGCCTTCACATGGCCCCCTAACGCCTTGAACGCCACTTCCAATGTCGGGTACTCGTAGATCGCTTTGCCAATTTGCCTTTTCCTGTTCACTCTTTTGTTCTCGTATTCTCTGATTTTACCCCTTCACGTGATTAGGGTTTCTGCGTTATTGCATGATTGGTTTGACTTTGTGAACGTTCAATTTTAGGTTTTTTGTTTCGGAAGCTGTATGTAGGATTTTGTGTTGTTTGAGAATTATGATTTTCGTTTTTTTTTTTTTAATCTTTTGGGATTGGTTTAGTCAAGGGTGTTTGTTGTTGATTATTTTGTTTTTTGAATGTTACGTGATGGAACCTGGCCTGAGTGAGTGTATAATGTTATCTTTGGATTAAAGTTTGAAAAGTATTCTGTTGAATTTCAATGTACTAAATGAAGAAGAAAAAAAGTGCTGCTTTTAGAGGAAAAAGTACTTTTAAACTCTCACAACTTTAATCCAAACATGTCCTAAACGACTGGTTGGAATTAATTCTGGGAGCTTAGGATTCTTGCACTTGTGAGTTTTAATTGCTTCTGCCCTGTGCAATGTTTGGTTCTGGAACTGGTGACTGCATTAATTCAGTTTTTCTTTTCATTGACATTTATGTAATTATGTTCTTTGTTTACGAAATTGAAGATAATCTGTACCTCCTAATTAGGTGGTTAGTTACTTTCTGAAGTTATAGGATCATCTAATTCTTAAATAGGAGTCGAGCTAGGTGGATGAAAACAAAAGTGCTTAAGGCATAACTTGTAATTGCGAAGTTATTAGTTAATACTAGGGGAGATTCTTCTGTGTAGTTATGGCTTACGAGTTTTTTAATGCTCTGTGCAAGTAAATATTGGGGGTAGTGAAAATGCTGATAAGGGCAATAAATAAATGTGAATTAGAATGGTGAGGTGGATGAATGGATTGGTGAAAGATGATGAAGAAAAATACTTGGTAGAAAGTCGGATGGATTGAGAGGAGGAGAATGCAAAACTCATGTAAGGTGGTTTAGTTTAGTCATTGGAGAAGAAGACTGAAAAGTCTGCGCGAGAGAAGTTGGTAAAAAGAGAAGAGGCTATTCTAATTAAGGGTAGAGGAAGACTTAAGAAAGTTCTACGAAAAACCATCAAGAAAAATCTTCTGTAAATGGTTTTACTAAAATTGGCTACTGCTAGAGCCAAATAAAGCAACTCTTCCTAGTGAGATAAGACTACATTATTGTTCTAACTGCCAAGAGCGCACTTTTCTTTTGCTTATAGGTTTTAACAATATGAGAATGAGAAAAATTATACCAGAATCTTGCTGATAATTTACCAATTCTAGAATGGATTTTCACAAGAGTCCTATAAAATATGGAATACTTCCTTTTTATTACCATTCTTGGTAATATATACTTATGTAATGCATATATTTCAATTCCCTTCTACTTAAGTGATTTCTTTTTCCTTGCTAAAACATATGTTTTTTGTTTTGAGGCTATATATTTTTGTTCGATCAAACATGGTTGCTGACATTTTATTCATAACACATTGTCCATGACACTATGTATCTCTGTCCACGCTCTCATAAGAAAACAATTTCTTTTACGACCTTGTCTTTCTTACCATAATATTTGCTCCTAGTGTTGAAGTTGATGGCTCATTGGGGGATTCTGATGGTCTCAAAGAGTCTGGCTCAAAGAAAAGGTACACAATGTTCTAATACGCTTTCATTTTTATTGAATGAAATTATTTTTGTTAAGGAAAAAACAAAGAATCAACATTTGTGCCCACTTGGCAATTGTTAAAAGTCTCACATCGTTTACCTCATGTTATTTAGTATGGTTTAAATACATGTTAGGCTACTCCACATATTGCCAATTTGTTTTATGTTGGAACCTTAACATGGTATCAGGGCCAAAGCCTAACATCTCTCCGGTTATTGTCATGGGCCAAAAGTTGCCCTTTAGTTGGGTCAAAAGTACCTTTTGTCTGGTCCGGTAGGTTTCGTTGGAGGGAGCGTGTTGAAAGTCCCATATCGTCTACTTCATGTCATTTGGTATGATTTAAATACATGTTAGGCTACTCCACATATTGCCAATTAGTTTTATGTTGGAACCTTAACAATAATCTTATTCTGAATTCCCTCTTTTGTTGCTCCTTTTTCACTTAATTTCCTAATCTCTGTTTTCCTTGACTTCTTCCTGCAATTACAAATCTTCAAATGATTTACTGTTATTTTTTTCTCTATACCATAATAGATTAATAATGATTAGTGTTAGTTGTTTAAATCGTTTAAATAAATTTGCTCTGCACTAGCCATAAATGACCTTCAGCCAACCGACAGATTTCTAGTAATGTAGCTCAGTCAAAGGGTGAGGCTAGTTAGTGCAATTGATGTTAATCAAGAAATTAACATCATGAATCCTAATGCATTGCATGTGTTAGTTTTTCAAGTATAAAATTATTTTTTTAAAGATAAGGTCAATTCTCTATAATCATGTTTGCCTGTCTTACAACATTGACTTTTCTTTTCTATTTCAACATTATATCAAATGATTAAACTTCAAAAAGGAGTGAACCCAATCTGGATGGCTTATTCTTGGAAGAAGCCTTCTTCATTTTCTTGTTCATTCATGGTTGCAGGGTTAGATCTGAGACATGTGCTGCTTCTAGCTCCAAGGCGTGTCGGGAAAAGTTGCGAAGAGATAGGCTTAATGACAAGTACACTTTCTACTTCCAAATTTCAACTACCTACCCTGTCTTTTTATTCTCCTTTTGAGCTTGTGTGAATGTGTAGCTGAGGCATGTGCCTTATATTATGGACATGGTTAGGTTTGTTGAATTGGGCTCCATTTTGGAGCCTGGAAGGCCTACAAAAACGGATAAGGCTGCTATCCTGATTGATGCTGTCCGAATGGTGACACAGTTACGGGGTGAAGCCCAGAAGTTGAAAGACACTAATAAGGGTCTTCAAGAAAAGATTAAAGAGTTAAAGGTCATACTCATTTGAATGACTTCTTGGTTTGGGAGTTATGTATTGTGGATCATTTAGGGGGCAATTTGGTTAAAAAATGTTTCCTGTTTGAGAAATGCTAGCAACACACTCTACTATTTGTTATTTTATGGAAATTCACAAATTTTGGTAGGTACCACTAATTTAATGATTCTCTGCTGATTTTGTAGTTGTCAAGAATTTTAGCCAATCATAAAGTGTGCCAGAGAGTGTGTTCCTAGTTATCTTGTTGTTTTCATATTTAATTACAAAAGTTCCACCTTTTTCATTTTATTTTATGTTTTCAACGATTTTTTTATTGCAAACAAATTATTTTTACTGTTTCCTATCAAATTATTTTCATTCTCTCTTTAGGGAGACGGAAAAAATCGCAATACTAATTGTTTTAGAAATCAAATTCGTAATATGTTGTGTAGGCTGAGAAGAATGAGCTTCGAGATGAGAAACAGATGCTCAAGGCAGAGAAGGAGAAGTTGGAGCTGCAGCTGAAATCGTTGAATGCACAGCCCAGTTTCATGCCTCCCCCTGCTGCAATCCCTGCTGCCTTTGCAGCGCAAGGCCAAGCCCATGGCAACAAGTTGGTACCTTTTATTAGTTATCCAGGAGTTGCAATGTGGCAATTCATGCCACCTGCTGCAGTGGATACCTCACAGGATCACGTACTCCGTCCACCAGTTGCCTAAGCTGGCACTGTACAATTCTCTGGGCTTGCATTTGGCCCAAGGTTGTATCCATTTTACCAATACCTTCGCTTTGTTAGTTGTCTTCTAAGTATTCTAACTGGACCCAGTGGTGACCTCCGACTGTATTTGGCATATGATAATATTATGATTAATGCTAGTATTTGCATGTAAATGTTAAATAAGCTTGTCTGGCTGGCTGTTTTCGCCTCTGTTTTAATACTAGCTACTGGGTTCAAAGATAATCCAATGTTAGGTTCACATTAACATTATTTAAGTTTAGGCCATGCAAAATAGGTAAGAGGGCATTGCTTATAGTAGATACAGACAGGTTTTAACAATCGAGGAAACAAAAAAGCTATAGTGCTTTATTTTTCAATTTGGTGCGGCTATATTTCCTTATGTAGGCAAATGAAATAAGTTCCTGTTATTAAGTTTTTCAACTATAAATGAAGATTGATATATAGTGGAGATGCGTGGGCGGGTGAACTGTGTCAATTTTGACTGCTAGAGTCCAGGTTTGATCCAGTTGTTAGTTGCCGCCGTCCACCATAGTTGGACTCATCGATATTCCTTCCGTGGCCAAAATTGACCAACAATTTTATGGGGATATTTATTTGTCCATTTTCTATTTTTATTTTCAGTGGAAATAGAAAATAGTACTAAAAGTATGTTTGGTTCAACTCTTAAAAACAAAGTTTTTTAAAAATAAGTGCAAAATTGAAAATAGCAAAGTCTATCAGCGTTTTCTGAAAAAATGGAAAGGGAATTAATTGCAGTGACGGTGTGCAATTTTAATCACAACCTTATGAATGTTAATGACAACTTCTTTTGCCTTCGTTGTTTGAAACTCATCCTCGTAATGACGTAATGTATATAGGCAGCAGAAGTGGGCTAGAGATGCGAAGGGAGAGGAAGAGTAGTGAAGGTGATTTTATTTCCAGGTTCAAGGCTTCCTGGCAATTGGTGAAGTTGTGTTAAAAAAAAGAAAAATAGGTGAAATTAATCAGCAATTCGGTATTTTCTTTTATAGACAACAAGTATCCTACACGGAAAAGAATTTTGCTTGAACCAGATAGAACTATTATGGGTGGCAAAGTTTCCTTTTCAAATATTTAATATAGTTTACCTTCTAATGAAATTAAAATAATTTTATGAGTTAATTCACGCATTCGGTAATGATGTGATTTAATATTTAATGTGATTCGTAAAGGCAAGGGTTTTTGTAAGGAAAAAGCAAGGTATTTTTAACACCAACAGTGGGGAAAAGATGTTAATGAATGTAGTAGCGCTTGTTAGGCCACTAATTTTGAATCATAAATTAGGTTTCCTTTTAGAGTTAAGCCTTAAGTTCTTCATATTAAGCATTCAATATTGTTAGAGTGAGCCTTGGTGCAGCAGTGAAGTTGCTAGATATCATGTGACTGTAGGTCACTGTTTCACAAGGATATTGGCCTATTCATCTCTCGCTCAAAAAAGTTTTATTTCTTCATCTTGCATCTAAGTCCATTCATTAACTTGCCTGTTCATTTTTCCAAAACAACTGCATTTTCTTATGTATATGATCTACAAATACTCATACTTACATTACGGATTGTAGAGAAAAAGAATTTAAACTGAAGAGTTAAAAAGGAAAATTGAAACAAAAGGCTGCATCTTGCCAAGTAGCCATATCATTGTTGTCTTCCCACTTCTTTGTAGTGGTGGATTGGCATATGCTTTGAAGAAGTCCTCTCATTTCCATCTTCTATATGCAAATACCATTCATTCCACTCAGAAAGAAATTACAATGCCTTAATATGACAGCTCTTTATGAAGTAATCTGCAAAGTCAATGTACTTGGTCCACAATGGCCTTAGATGGGGAAAAGCTATATCTAGCCATGGCTTTGCCCTGCCATTGAAATGGATGACACCAGCACTCTCAGCGTCAGCAAAACTTGTACTTTCCTGATATCCCAATCCCAGCATGTGCCAGAAAGGATCAATAGTGTGGACATGACCATGGAATGCTATTAATCCAGGCGGTAATGTCCCTAGCTGCCACAAACTAAGGTCTGATTTTATATTCTGCATAAAACATAACACAAATTTGTGTTGTTATACAATCGTTTTCCAAAATAGAAACTCAAATTTTAGTTTTGAACATATCTAAAGTAATTTACTTTTACTTTGTTATTTTCCTTTTTCTTTTTCTTTAGTAGGATGGAATGTACACATATATACCTGCTCAACCCAGTAATGGTATGTAGAGCTTATATTGGTCTTCCTCCAAGCATCAAGGTCGAAAATGTTCATTCCATAAGCCCAAGCACATTCATTGGGATCAAAATTTTGGGATATTAGAGGGTGGGAGAAGTTCAAATAGCTTTTCAACCTCTTTGACATCACATACTTATCTTCTCCACTGCATGTTTCTACTGCTCCATTGACTTTTCCATTCATATCAATGTCCCACAGAGGTGAAAGATCAGTTTGTACCACAATGTCATCATCAAGGAAGACCACCTTGTTAAGACTTGAGAACAACTGTAATGAAAAATGTATTATAGTACCATCACAGTGCAAAAGGTTAATCAGTTCTACAAAATAATTTTGCTTCATATTGTATCACTTTTTACCTCTGGAAGATGTATCCGAATGTGATTCATTACTGAATTGTACTTAGGACTAAGTGTTTGCAACTTTGCTGCAATTACTTTTGGCTTCTCGGTAGGATTTGTAACAATAGCCGATGACCCGCCTCTAAACTGTGATCTCACAGTTTGATCTTTTTCCATTGCTTCCAGCACAGGCACCTTTCCCTTTGTAAACCAATCAAAGTGGTGCAATGCCTTGACCTCAATTATGGCAGGTGATAAAGGGTGCAAGGAGAACCAAGCCTGCATGGGATAGTAAGTCTTTCTATCTGTAATTATGTGCAGAACAACCTTCTGAGGTCGCAAACTGTTGCGAACGAGTGATGTTGCAACCACAGAGGCAGCGAGCACGTTGTCTGAGGCCAGAACAAAGTGAAAGTAGTTGTTGTCAACCAGAGCAGGGACAAGTTCTGCAGAGGGTAGCTGAAGACGTGCAGCTGCATTGTTGGTGTGCTCATTGGCCAGCTTCAAGCCAAGACAGTGAAGCTGTTTTGGTATGCTGCTTGATGCAACATGACGATATAAATACTCTTGGACTTTGGCTTCTCTGGTCCTTTGTTCCATAAGGGTTACCTAAGAAAATGTTCAGAATTTAAGCGGGGACTTGAACTTGGAAAGCAATTACTTTTGCATTAGATTAGTCTTCTAAATTCCTCTAGTTTGAAAGAGTGCGAAAATGGTACCATTTCTCTTAGTTTAATTGCAAATGTCTTAGCATCATATCCTCCTTCCTTCATTTGGATCATGAACTCTTCTAAAGTCTGTGGGATATCAGTCCTTCCCTCTAATTCATCTTTGCCAAGGGGTTGATCTAATATTCCGGATATTACTTCTGGGACCTATCAGAAACCAGTGTCATTTCAGCCACCATTACAAAATTCTGGTCAATTAGTTACCATGTGGATTCACATGACAAATATAATTAGAAGAGTTAAGGAGATTACATTTGATTCAAGACTTCTTCCCAAAATCTTTGGCCTCAGTTTTTTTCCCAGGCAACCTGCAAAAACATTAATTAAAAGGTCACGTATTACATAAATAAAATACTTGGTGGAATTTATTATTCTAGACGTAAAAGACTGATGCACTTGTTTCAAATTCAAAAGGTTACAGAATGTATCGTTACTCTAAATTTGTGGGTTTAGAATTTGATATTTTCAAATTGTTGAATTCATACCAAGTGTACATACAACTTTATAACGTAGCATCAAAAGAAAATAAAATTGCAGGATATAAGTTTACTCAACAGTAACATTATTGATGAATCCTACTACACTAATACAGTGCAAAATACATATTACAAAAATTCCACTTCCAACAAAGAAAACTGAATATAGATGTGTAGCCAAAATTGAAAAATGAAAATAATTGACACAATGCCTTCTTCCATTGGTTTTGCGATCCTTCAATTTATAGAATTTTCGTTAATCAATAATCATAAAACTTTGAATTCAGCCATATATATAATAACCATTTGCAAATCATGAAAAGTTCAAGCATAGTAAAATACATAGTCACATCTTTATGTTTTTCTGTCCATTGCATGTATGCGTATGTATGTATGTTAGTGATTGTGAGGTGAAAGGAGAGAGGCTGATAACGTACCTATGGAAGAGCATTTGTTTTCTCCATCAATGTTATCCACTGCTGTCAAAACAAACACAAACCTAAGAAGGAATGTGAAGAACAAGAGTGAATAGAAGAGCATCCGATAAGAAAGCCTCCTTGATGCAACCGTCACTTTGATAAATTCCTTCAACCCCTTTCCCGGAAGCACGGTAACATGCCTCAAACTTGGTGATATCTGCAGCAACATTTTGTCCAAAACACAACAAAGCAAGGCAACACCAAAAAGCGGAAACACCAACACTGCTTGGAGTCCCTCCTCTTCAACCAGTAGTTTTAGTTCTTTTCATATGGCAATATTCACCATCTGATCGATGACAGTGTTGAAAAAACTGAAAGATCCCACGTCAGGTTATTCTGCAAAAGGAAGGTTTTGATGGTGCTTAAGGTTGCTATCTTCACCTAACCTTGCTTAGCATTTGGGACAGGCAGCATGTCAATGGGAGTGTTTGAGGCTTTTAATATATTTGTGGAGAGCTATGAGAGGAGGGGGTTGTTAAGGAGAAAAAGACATAAGACTGAGAAAGACCATGTAGTTTGTTCCAAGTTTTGGTCTATAGACTTGGTTTTGAAGGAGGCAAGTTCAGGCACAAAGGGTAGGAAAACGAATGCAAATAAAATAAACTTTGGCGTATGCTTGGCTTTGCCTCCACACGAAGTTCTTCTGTTTGTTATGTAGAGTTTGGAGTTTGGAGACTATGACACAACGGAACTTCTACATGGAAAATGACTGCATCTCTTTCTCTCTCTCTATGTGTGGGGTTCAGGATGTGCTTGTTGGAGTAAAACTTCAGAAAACATTAATTCTATTCCTTGGAAGAACACTGTTGACAGGGTGACTAACCCTTATTGGTTGTGGATTATTGATTTCCTGCTGAGTCTTATAATCTTCTCTTTCAACAATTATACGTGTAAATGACCATTTTGATATTAAACATAAAAGTAGTATTTGAAAAAAAAATGAAAATTCTGATATAGTTATTAAATACATTAGAAAAAATACAGTAATTACATCTTGCTGATCAATTTAATAATAAATTAATCTTGAAATTCAAAACTTAATGTTATTTAGTCCATTAAAAATACAATTTAGTCTCAAATTAATGCTTAATTAAATATTACTATAGTTATTGTAAAAGATACAGGACAATAGTATGACTATGCTTAAGTATCAAGATGGTCCTATAAAATTTACAGGACAAACTTAACTTTTAAACATTCAAATCAAGGTTTTCAAAAACTAAATTGTTTATTGTAAAAGATGGTAACAAGCTGTTACGAAACAAGAAAAGTTTATTATTTACAGCTAAAGTTGTTGGTATACTCAGAATACAGGTAGTAATGAAATTATGAATAGATGGAAGAATCAAAAATAGAGGAAATGACACTGTTTCCAACAGCCAGAAGAAAAAAACTGTGGATACTTAGAATAAAATATTATTGACAGATGAAGTTATCTGCACTGTTTTCAGTTACAGATAATAAAATATGTCACTAATTATCAAGTGCAGGTAAGAAAGAGTTAAACTTGTCTTTATTCAATCCAAAGTTTTATCTGTATAAACTTTTAAATTTGAATTCAACCAATATATCAACAAGATATTTTAACATGATGTAGTAATAGTGACATCATGTATATTAAGTTATAGAGTAAAAGAGATATAAACTTTTGTAGTTAGATACATTTTACTATATCCTTAAAAAAAAAAATAACATGTTGTCCTATATGTTTTAAAATAAGTTATATAATTATAAATGCATTATCATCTTATACAAAAATTCATATTATATATATGGATACCAAATACTAAATTGAATTAGAACAATTCCAAATATAACTTGAACTTATCCTAAATTTTAGGTTAAATATATTTTTAAAACTTTAGATATAATTAGTTGATATTTTTCGAAAAATTATTGTCATCATAAACAAATCTATCAGTGGAAAAACAACTGTTTAAAATATTGTTTTTTATTTTTTTTCAAAATTGTAACTAATTATTCTATCAATTATAATTAACTTAATGCTTGTTATCAGTTATAGAAAGTTAAATAAAATAAATCATAAACTAATTTAACGTTTTGACTATATTTTTAATTTCTGAAATATAGGATAGTACTGGTTTTGATTTTTTAAATTTAAGAAAGTTTATTTTAATTCTTTATATATATAATTTTATCTGCAAATACTAAATTTGAAAGATTAAAATGAATCTTTAAAAATATTTTTATTTTTTAAAAATTAATACTTATTTAGGATTCAAACCTAAATTTGAGATATTATAATAATATTTTATTTGAGAAACTAAATAAATTATATTAAATTTAGAGATTAAAAATATAATTAAAATGTAATTTAATTTATTAGACAGTTATATTTAGATTTTATGAGACTTAATTCGTATCATATTTAAGCCCGAATTTTCATTTCATTATTTATATTTACTTTTACATTTGCAACAATTTTTGAAAATAAAAAAGATATTCTAATCAAATCGTAAACATTGATTTGATTTTAATTTTAAATTAAATTAAAATTAAAGTAAACGAATCATGTTATTTAATTGATTATTTAATTAAAAGTTAAAACACGGATAAAATATCTTCGCAAAAACATAGTTTTCTAATATAGTAAAGATTTGATTTCACATCTTTTCTTAGGATAAAAGGAAAGAGATAAAAAGTAATACCCAAAGAACAAAATGCTATATTATATTGGAAAAGGGTTGGTCGTGAAAGCTTTGGTATTTGTTTAAATTCAAATTTAAATTAACATATCTCTTTTATGATTAAATTGTTTGAAAATAAACAAGTATAACATATCATAATATTAACTTATTAAAATTTAATAACATCTACACTATTATTAAAAAAAATTCCCAAATTTACAGAGGATAAAATGTTTAATGCAATCTCTTCACCTACCTCTACTATGAGGATTCAACTACTAATGTTGAACAAATATGAAAAATGATTGACGTGTCACTTCCACACAAGAACACATTTTCATGGTAGATAGATAAAAATAGACAATCCAAGATAAGTACTTTTCCTATGTAGACATCACACCTTAGAACTCAACACATGAAACAACTAATGTATATATATATATAATGTATTACAACAAAAATCTACATTACCAACAAATATTTATTCAACATAGCAAAAAATAATTATGAAGCTGTTAAAACCTTTAATCAAAGACTATCATTTTGCATAAACCCTAGAAAATACACCCATGTGTGAAAACAATTATAGTTATTAAAATTTTGGATTTTTTTAATCAATGAGTGTCATTTCACACCATCAAGATGGTGGGCATGTAATAAAGTAACAGGATTTAAGTAGCCTTGAACATAAATTGTTGTTTAATGATGTGAATATTTGTGTGGACTCATGATATTAAAAAAAAAAAAAAATGTTGGTTGAGCATGATTTCAAGTGGTGTGTTTCGATGTGTTGATGTGCTAACTGAACTGAAAAGCATGGATTGATACTACAAATAGAAATTACAAGGACATAAAGCAAATCTACTTTATGAGGTTCACCTTCTTCTTACCCTTCTTGCTCTTCACTTTTCAGGTATCACTGTTACAAGTTTAAGTGGAGAACAGTTACATATTAACGTTGAACTATTCCTTCAAAAAAAAAAAAATTAACTTTTATGACATTTGACATGCAGTGTGACAAAAGCATAAATGTCTGTAAATCAAAATTGATTGGCTAACGATCAGATATTATATATATATATATATATATATATATATATATATATATATATATATATATATATATGAGAGAGAGAGAGAGAGAGAGAGAGAAAAATAATTTTCATTTTGTATGTAAGGAATAATATTGATCTAGCTTTTATATCATTAATAATATTACATAAAAAGTGAATTTTAACCATTTAAGCGTTTAATTATAATTTTATATTATCTTGATTATTAGTGTCAAAATGAAAAATAATAAATAGGAAATCAAATAATTCATATTTTAATATGCTCTGTAAAAATATGATGTTGATTTTAAAAATGAAATATTAAATATGAAAATTTGTATGCATGATATATGTGAAAGAAATTTTGAATCAAACATGTGAAAAAACATGACAAAATTGCAGCACGTTACTAAGAAAACATGGTTCATTACTGTCTCCTATATTTAAAATGTGCATAAAATGATATGTTTTATAACAGCTTTCATTGACATAAACAAAGTTGAATTATGGGTTATTAATGTGTGTGAATAGAATAAAAATCAGAATTTCATTAAGAAGTCTTTAAAGACACTCGTGAGGAGTCAAATTGTGGTAAATTGAATTTGCATCCAAGAAATGGTACATAAGGTAAAATGTCCAAAACAGACCACTTCTTAGACTACTTTCACCTTGTAAACCACCAATTCTAGAAACATGCATGCTTATAATTATTATGATTTCTTTCAAATGCTTTATACGCACGTCTACTATTTAAAACCCGATCAAAAAAAGAAAAAAAAAATAGAACACTATTTTGGGGTATGAAATAGAAAGAGTGAAGCTTGATTAAGGAGGTTAATTAGACACTATTGCTTCATATTCATACAAGTAATGTGATTTGATTGATAATAGACACGAGAAATTAATTGGATTTAGTATACCTAATCTTCACTCACTACTTGATCACTAACACACCCAAAAATCTCGAATGTTAACTAAGCTTGTAGAGGATTCTATATTCTTCATCTCTTATTGCTACATTTTTTCTCATTCTAATTTGAGTGTCTTGGTTTGGAAATGAATTGCAAATTTATACACAAATGAATTTGCACACATAACTTATATTGGAACAACTACATTTTCAAAATTCAATTAAACTCTACATTCAATGTAAACCTTTGCTTTGTGGATCAACTGGTTCAACAGAAAAATCAATTAATGGATTTAGTATTAGATCTATTCAAACCAAGAACATGCCGTCAGTTGAACTCATAAAAAACCAGTGACTTGGTTTAAATACAAAAGCCAATTAAAAACCAATTTAAAACAGGTCAATGAAATACATTTTTAGAGAAAATATTTTGTAATGAAAAATTCTTAATACATTGTTATTTTGACATTTTCCTCAAAAAGTATAAATTTTTTTAAATATTTGACATTGTCTTTTTTATTATAAAAAACTTGGATTATTATTTTCTATTATTGAAAATTAGATGTAAATATTATGATATAATACAACTGGTCAAATAAAACTGATTTTAAATTCTTTCCAAATAGAAGATGGATGCATCCTTACTTTCTTTCCATATCTTTTCACATTAGAAGAGTTAGATCCATCAAAGCTAATTATTTGTGTGATATGAATTTGTCTGTTATTTTCAACTTCAATTGAAGAATCCCAACGTACTAACATTTTGGCACCACAATCATGCCTTTACAAGTCAAACTTCTCTACCTCTTCAACCATAAAAATAAAGTTAACAAAGCCTCCAGTGAGAAATGAAAGAATATTTCATGCCTATGAAAAGAAAAAAAAAATCACCTTCAATTATCAGCAATCATAGCTCAATTACATATATGAACAACCTTATTATTGTTCAGTAATATATCACACAATTTAATTACTACTACCTTCAATCAAATTCCTCTCCTTTTTCTTCGTGGTGATTCTCCAGTTTCAGACTTTTTCTGTCACTATTTACATACGTGTGATGAACATCCATGTTCATGTGCTCTCTTCTATTATTTACAGTCAGTAGTTGGTTTAAGGGTGTTATTGTTATTTACAAGACCCTCTGTTTCTGGTGGAATAAAACCATCACCCCACTCATTTCCTTCAATCCCACTTTTAAATTCAGCAATATTTCCACCAGAATTAGTCATACAACAAGGAGATCCCGAAAGACTCCTGGGTGAAATCCTTCCCTTTTCAAACAACTTGGAATTTTGATGCAAATATTGTTCATTAAACTTATCCACAGCGGGAGTCCTGCAAGAAAATATTTTTCATTTACATAAACTATCTCCATGAGTGCAGAGCTAATGCAAAAGTGAAGAAATGTCATTACAACCTAATAATAAAGATCACAATATACAAAAGCCTAAATCTTTTGACCTACCTAATAACTAATTAATAAATTAGTTAGTCATCAAACCTTGTATGTTGAAATTTTGAAGTCTGAATACAGTCAAAATTTGGAACCAAGTCTTTATACCTAGCTTCTATCACACGAGTTGGAATTTTTTCAATCTCAAATTCCCCTCCAGAAGCAGTTTCCCCATCCATCATCGAAGTAGCCTCTTTAGCCACTGAATGAAAATATATCTGGTCGGCAACAGAACCACAAGTTTGAATGTCAAACTATCAAGCATTAAAATGTTAATAAAACATTAAAAAATGCATTTTCCAGTTTTAAGATAACATACCTCATACTTTGCCCACAATGGTGCCTTACCTTCATGCATTTGTAGTTCAGCTTCTGAAATAAACAAATGATGCTCTTTCTCAGAACAGAAATTCAGTTTCACAGATACATTCTTCATTTTAGGGCTGATGATATTATCCTTTACTTCCTCCGTATATACTCTATTGATGTCTGAAACTTCATTCTCTCCGTAAATGTCGATATTTTCTTCTTCTTCTCTGCAACTATGTCTCCGACTTATATTCCACTTCTTGATAGGCTCAATAACCACTCTTGCATCAGTCATCGGGGCAGACTCATACCCAGGCATTAATCCAGAAGCAACACCTGAATCTTCACAGTTATTGGTCCGCAGAGCATATTGTATCATGGAACATGTGGATGAAAAGACCAAAAGATGATACTTTTCCTTGGAATAGTTCCCATTAACATACAAGGTACTTCTGCCTTCCATGTTATGGAACGTGGAAGCAATAGCCCCAGAAATGGAACTCATCCTAGTGGTTGCAGCTGCAGCTGCAGCAGCACCAGTTACCGAGCTTCTCCAGCCATTAGATCCATTCCTAATTCTGCTTACAACAGAAAGTGTGATAGGAGAACCAGCAGCGCAGAGACTCTGCTGTTTACAAATTTCTAAAGCTGAACTATGAGGCCATTGAACAGCTTGATCAGTCATGACCTTCAATCCGCCATCTTTTTCTGTTGAACTATTGTCACAGGACAGAATATTTACAGGCCCTCCTTGAGGATTTATAGCAAACAGATGACTAGTGCCCCTTGAGGAACTAATCATAATCCACCGGCTATCAACACTAAAACTGATATCTTGAATAACCTGAAAAGTCAAATACATATTTAAAAAAGGTCTGAATTACTTATAGATGCCTTTTGAAAATAAAAATTTACATGTATTAATCCAAAGAAAGATTGGGCATGAAGACTCACTGCATTTGTCAAGCCACGTTGCAGCCTGTAGAGATGAACATAAGAAGGGCCAGCATCAGATGCTGACACTCTCTTATATCCCGGCATTATCTTAAAAACATTAATGTTATGCCCCTGAACAGAAGCAGTCACTAAGATGGTACCACTAGGATCAAAGCATAAAGCTGAAATAGGACTCTTGTGGGCCCGGAACTGGGCAATGACATTTTTACTGACTATATCTCTTACAATGACCTGAAAGAGAACAATAAATTATTCTAATAAAATCAAAATATTAACAGTACTAGCATATCAGTTGCCATATTGTAGAAGGGTAATCAAGACCAAAATATACATGCAAGAATCCAAGTTCAGAGGATACACGATGCAAAACTCTTGAGCAATTGCAAAGTTGTAATAGACTGTAATTTCCAGAATGACTGCTATGTTTGCAACTAAATTTGAGCCAATAGTAAGGAAAGATCAGGTGTGTACAGACTAAGATAGCATATGTATTTGGGTAGAGTAGATAATCAAACACAATATGTGAAGTATTCCAAGTGAATGCATGGTTATTATAAGGAATCATAATTACCATCCCAATGTTTTCCACATCTGTTGAATGGCCATGAATGATTCCATTTCCTTTTGGGCTAGAATTTACACATTGTATAGAACCATTATTATCTGGGAGAAGTTCTGAGCAGTAACTGGAAAGTTTCTTATACCCCATATCCCCAAGGGTCACAATCCCAGAAGCAAGATGCTTGCTAGACTGTTTGGCATAGTGTGCAAACAAGCTCCCATTTGAAGAAAAACTAGGAAAGCTTGCAGAAGGTGTCAAATGCTGTGGGCTGACGCGCCCAGAAGTGGCAATTACAGAAGGACTTCCACTATAGGCCAGCCATCTAGGACCCACTGCAAGTGGTCCAAAGCCAATGCCTCCAGAACCAGGACAGCTCATGACTACAGGATTGGTAAGTAAAATATACTCCCTTACTAAAGTTGTGGGAGAAAAACAGTGTATCTGCAAAACAAAAATACCATTAAACATTAGAAGAAAATGACTTTCACCGAACTTAATATAGATGCTAACAAGAATACCTGAGTGGCTAGAGAAACAGCAACTACTCGAGAACTACATCTAACAGAATAAACAGCTGATCTAAACTTTAGTGCATGAACATATGATTGGGACCTCATAGAATAAAAATGAACAGTAGTTGACAGATAGTTTCCATTCACTTGGTCATGATGGTTTAAAGTGCTCCCATTGCAAGTGGCAACCAACTCATCTTCTATTTTGCCTCGTCCGGCCAATAAATCATCCATACATACTGCCAACAATGGACGCTTGTCTGCAAACTTGTCCACCAGTCTGTTTGATACAATTGGACTTGGTACCATTTGCATAAAAGATACAGGACCATCATGTCTGGAAACTAGGTCACAGACATTATTTGAATCATCAACATTCCAAACCTGGAAGCCAGACCAATAGCCTAGAAGAAGTACTTGCAGAACGACTCCTCCCTGGCCCTCTAGTATGTCAAACCCAGCCCAAATAACCTATACATATTTGGAAGTAATTGAAAAGTGTCAGCTCAATCTTAAGACCAAATTGAAATATGTAATATAAAGAAAAAAAAAAGTATCAATTTTTCAATATTAATTAACTATTGAAGCAAACAAAAATCAGATCAAGAAGCCTGAAAAGGTAGAGAAAAAAATCATAAATAACATACATCCATTATACAGTGTTTGGATGAATGTAGCTTATCTTGATTTTGGTTAAATTTGAGTTTGAAGTGAATTGAATTTGAATCTTTCAATCTTTTATCTTAAGAGTATGTTTGTAGTAAAACTTGGCAAAAATATTCATCCAAATGCAAAAGATATATGTTTTAGCTTCTAATCAGGCTTATTTTTAGGAGCAAAACCAATTTCACATTACAGCAACCAAATATAATGTTTTTTTTTTTTTTTGCAAATCAGGTTTCCGTTGTTCATACCCATGTTAGAAGATTGTGAACATCATCCACACATGCTTCAAATAAACATTAAAACATAGCTTCCACAATAGATTAGATCTCAGTTTGAAAATTAATAGATATTCATTATAGGGTGCACTAAATTTGGTTAGCTAAGTTTGATATTCAAATTTCTCAAAAACTTCTTATATACTGACCACGCTGGATCTGAGAAATGGGTTAGCCATATAACCAGAAAAAGGATACCTTGGTAACGGCTCAACAGACAAACAAAAAACAACAAAATCCGTCAAGAAGTATTTAGCCATTAATCTTAGGATATACAATCATAGCCGACAAAAATGTTTATCCCTTCGTAGCACATGATGCTCAATCCTGAATATGAACAAATATCAAAACAAAATGAACAAAATATCAACAAAAATGACTATTCACTCCCATAACAAACCATTAAACACAAATGAGAAAGGGATTATCAGGTTATTGATTTGAAACTGGAAATTTACAACCACCCCAGTGTCGAGTATGTAAGTTCTCAAGACACATGTGTACATATCCAATTTGCAAAAAATACATTTTATACTTGTTTCTTAATAAAACCTATTTTATATTTAATCTTTTAAAACATGTTTTTGTCATGGGGTTGCTATGGAATGAACATTGCAAGCATGCTCAAGAACTTTACATACCAGAGGCCATATACCCCAATAATTGAACTCCTGCTGGCCTATGGGATAAATGATGACATTCTCATTGCCATAAGAAATTGCACATATACATTGTCATGTTCATTTATTCAAAGAATGTGCACCCTAATTCCAAATATAATGTGCACCCTAATTCCAAATATGAAAACTTAAACGCAACAAATTCAAGCATATAATCCGAACTACAGATATGGATTCTCTAAAGTGCAGGTTTGCTCTTCAAATGATAAACACTGACGAGAAAAGAACAGTCCATTCTCACATTCAGATGCTTTTTTAAAATATAAAAATCGTTTAATTCTCCTATATTTAAGTTCAAACTCTAGCCTTTAACGTGCACCTTGCAAATTGACAAGAGATTCTCCCAATAATGATCAAACAGAGTAACAGCAAAGAATCCAAACTTGAATTGCGTAAACTATTATCTCTTGTTTGGAAAAACCTACTCTGAACTACCAGAGTAACAACGACTTCGAACTTAAATTGTGTAAACTATTATCTCATGTTTGGAAAACCATACTCTAATTGGGTAGGATGTAATCAGAATTTACCTCAGCAATAAAAACAAGTAATTAATATAAGCAAACAAGCTGCAATTCATAAACTTGAAAACCATGATAAGCAAGTAAGTTACTATTTTTTAGTTCCACCCGTTATAGCTCATTAGTGCATACCTGATCACGGTCAGGATCACCATGCTTATCCAAAATGGATGATGCAAATGAGGCAGCAGCTGACCGAGCAACTGTAGAAGCACCTGATGAAACACTCTTCAGGTAACCAGAGAGAGTACGAAAGGAGCTGGGGATGAAGCCATTGCTATTGGTTTTGCCACCACTACCAGTGGTAACACCTCCAAGAAGGTGCCCTTGTTTCTGGGCATCATTCCTACTCATCCCAAAAATCAAAGAGATGAAAATAGCAGCTATCCACACGCACAAATACAAAAGGTTTACCACTAATTCTTCAAATTCACCCTTAAATTCAATCATCACACCCTTCTTTCACCATCAAGATCCAAAGCAAAACAATATTTTAGAAACAAAAAGGCAAAAATCAGTTTTTTTCACAGCTGAGGTCACAAGTGTCCCCATATCCTTAACCTCTCCAAAAGAATCCAAATCATAACCACCCCAAAACAAAACTTGCCTCTAAAATCTTTCCCCTTCTCCGCGTTTTTTCATGGAAACAAAAACACCGAAAACACAACGACAACTTGGGAAACGTTTGGGCAACACAGAGATATTGAAAAATTAAAAACCAGAAAAACAAGTGTCAAAACTTCCCCTTTTTTTAGTTTTGATTGAAACCCACGAAAATATCTAAAATCAAAATTCACGGGTTAAGTTACAAATTAAGAACAATGATTAGTATTCCTCATAATCACAAATGAAATAATGATAAAATAATATGAAATTTATTAGTATCAAATTTAAAAAATATTATATTAGTGAATATTTACCGATAGTCGAAAAAAATTGATTAATGATTTTAGCAATAAATGGTGGATAATATTGGAGGATATAGTTTAGGGTTTTGGAAAGAAACCACCGGACAATCCGGAAAACAGGGAGAGTTCGGAGCAGAGAGAAACAACCATAAAAGGTAGAGAGAAAGAACACGATCAAAAAACAAAATCAGTTAAAAAAAATGTATAAATAAAAACAACCTCCAGTCATGGGTTTACGTGTGTCCTTTTCTTTTTCTTTCTTTCTCCAACTTTCTTAATTATACCTTTTTAATATTATTTTATCTAGTAAATAATGCACTGGTTATAGTTTTTTTTATATATTATTTTATCTAGTAAGTAATTTATAATTTTATATCTTTAAATTTTTTTAATATATTTTTAAATTTTAGATAAAATATAATATTTTGAAGTTATAATCTATTTTATTTAACATTTTGTAAAAGTAAAAAAAATAGAATAGATATTTCCCCTCCATAATAAAGAAGAGAATTTAGTTGATAAGAGGAGAAAAATTGTGTCTCATCTAATAAACATTATTTTTATCGAGTTGAAAAGAGTTCGTAGGACGTTCGCCCAAGTTGAAGATGGTTGACAAAAATATAAAAATAAAGTCGATTCACCGATCTTTGAATCAATTTTGAAGATGATCTTCGAAAAAGCATAAAGACTCACGTAAAAAAATACTCCGACATTTAAATCGGCTTTTAGGTAAGAGATTGATATATATGAACATGAATTATGAGATGAGGTTTACTCCCTAGTTACATCCTTTTATATAATATTCAAAAGATAATAATAGGTTGAGATATAATAGCTTATAACCATAAAATAATAACTAATATAAAATATTATAACGGAATAAAGATAATTAATAACAAAAATCAATAAAAATAGTATCTTTAATGGATTTGGATCGATAAGCACGGTTAATCAACTCAATAATTTTGGATTGGGTAGGTATTTAATCCCCCAAGGAGACGAAGGGAAAACGAGCTTTTATGTTTAGTCTCTTAATAGACAACTTTAATAAAATAATTAAAATATGAAGAGATGTTACTTTTACTATTATAAAAAAGAAAAAAACGCTCGTTACCTTCTCATTTCATATTTTCTCTCATTGTTCCTTTTTTGAACTTCCTTATTCTCTTGTTTGTTCATTCCTCCCACACTTGTAATTACTCTCTACATCAATAGGTACGTTCCGTTTTCTTCTACATTATTATGTCTAATATTGATAAAAGTAAACCTAGTTTTGTATTTGTGAGAGAAATGTGAAGCGCTTTAGGACTAGCAAGTAGTTCTGATGAAGAGTGCACCCTCTCTGTGTCTCTAGAAACGCTATGACGATGGATGTTTCTGGGTGTACTGTTAAGGAAGTTGTCAACTTAGACTGGTGTCAATAAGATAAAACTTTTGCAAAATGATCTGGCTGAGTCCCAACAGAGAGTGTCTACTCAACTGAATAGATGTCATTTCTGCTAAGGCCAAGGAAAACGAAACACTTACTTCTCATGCTTTGAATGCTAAGAGTGACTTGTAAGCAGAGGTCGTTTGATGTAAGGGACTCGAAAATAATATTACTATACTATACGAGGAGTTGTCTCAACGTAAGAGTCAACTGATCGAGTTGAAGAATATTATATGTTAGCTAGTTATGAGGATGGTTTTGAGAAAGTCGTACGCCAAACTATCATATTCATTCCCGAGCTTGATGTTGCTCGTTTTGATATTGAAAAGGATATTCGCGATGAAGTGTTAGTAGATGATAGTTAGTAAGAATGAAATTAATATTTTTCCTTTTTTTCTATCTCTTAGACTGATGTGTTACTTTTATTGAACATTTTCTATGCTTGTTTCAGCACATGCATTGCCTTTGACTATGCAAGTTTTGTAAGTTTTATACCTGTTTTTCCCGAATACGATACGCATATTATCAAACTATTTATACTCGTGTTGTTGAGCTCATGTTATATTTGTATCCTAAGTGAGGTATAGTTCGTTTGTACTCGTATGTCCAATTAAGACACAATTCATTTATACTCGTAACTCCGAATAAGGCATGATTCTGTTGAATATAGAGGAAATAGGGTTTGAAAATAATATTCCTTGTGTATAAATCACACATAGGGTAATCTATTTATAATAGAGAGGTACAACTAAAAGAGTAACTGAAAGTAAACAGAATAAACAGAAGATATTGTTTGATATTGTGGTTAACAATATCTAACAATATCTTAACAATATCAAATTATATCTAAATAATATCTAACACTCCCCCTCAAGCTGGAGCATACAAATCGTATGTGTCAAGCTTGTTACAAATATAATCAATTCTAGGCCCCCGTAAATACTTAGTGAAAATATCTGCTAACTGATCACTTGAGTTAACAAACTTAGTCTTGATATCTCCAGAAATAATCTTTTCTCGAATGAAATGACAGTCAATCTCAATGCGTTTGGTCCTCTCATGAAAGACAGGATTAGAACTAATATGAAGAGCAGCCTGATTGTCACACACAAGTGTCATTTGAGTGACATCTACAAATTGTAACTCTCTAAGCAATTGCTTGAGCCAAACAAGTTCACAGGCAGCTGAGGTCATAACTCTATATTCTGCTTCTGCACTAGATCTTGCCACAATACTTTGTTTCTTACTTTTCCATGAGATCAAGTTACCACCAATGGAGACACAATATCCAGATGTAGATCTTCTATCCGAAGTAGATCCTGCCCAATCAGCATCTGAGTAGCAAACAACTTTTGTATGGTTATTAGAACCATATAACAATCCTTTTCCAAGAGATCCTTTAATATACTTCAAGATACGAATGACTGCATTCCAATGATCTTCACATGGTGAATTAAGAAATTGACTTACCACACTGACTGCAAAGGAAATGTCAGGACGAGTAATTGTAAGATAATTCAATTTTCCAACCAATCTTCTATACTACTCAGGATCAGATATAGGTTCCCCCTAATTTGGTAGAAGTTTAGTATTAGGATCCATGGGTGTATCAACAAACTTTGAACTCATCAACCCAGTTTCCTCCAAAATATCTATGGCATACTTCCTCTGAGATATAACAATACCATCATTAGACTGTGCCACCTCAATACCCAAGAAATATCTAAGTTTGCCAAGATCTTTGGTCTGAAAATGGTGACAGAGATGTTGTTTCAACTGAGAGATGACATGGTTGTCACTACCTGTAATAACAATGTCATCAACATATACTATCAAGTAAACACATCCAACACTCGAGTGTCGATAAAAGACAGAATGATCTGCTTCACACTGATTCATACCAAATTGTTGAACAACCTTGTTAAACTTTCCAAACCAAGCCCTAGGAGACTGTTTTAGGCCATATAGGGATTTGCAAAGACGACATACCATCCCAGAAGACTCCCCCTGAGCAACAAACCCAGGAGGTTGCTCCATATATATTTCTTCTTGCAAATCACCATTGAGGAAAACATTTTTAACATCCAGTTGATAAAGAGGTCATTGTTGAAGAGCAGCCATGACGATAAATAAACGAATAGAAGCCATCTTTGCCACAGGGGAAAAGGTATCTCTATAATCCAACCTAAAAATTTGAGTATAACCTTTGGCCACAAGACGAGCTTTGAGACGATCAATAGTACCATCAGGTCTAACTTTGATAACAAACACCCACCTGCAACCAACAACAGATTTCCCAGACGGTAACGGGACCAATTCCCAAGTTCCACTATTATGAAGAGCACTTAGTTCATCTAACATAGCCTGACGCCAACCAGGATGGGCTAAAGCTTCACGGACGGTTTTTGGAATGGTCACAGAAGAAATAGAGGAAAGACATGTATAAAAAGGTAATGACAGTCGATGATAACCCAAAGCAATATAATGGGGAGAGGGATTACGTGTAGAACGAATACCTTTTCGGAGGGCAATGGGAAGGTCAGACTCATGTGTCAGATCCGGAGGAGACATAGTAGTTGACACTTGAGTGGAGTCACATGGTGGTGGTTGTGATTGGTTTCGAGAACTATAAATCTGAAGAGGCAGTGGAGAAGAAGCTGACTGCGGAGCAGGAACTAATGGTGAAGAAGACACAGTTAGAGGGTCACAAACAACAGGAACATTAAATGTATTAGGAGTGTTGACAAGATTAGATGGAGACAGAGGTGAAGATTGACTTTTAAAATAAAGAGACAACTCATCAAAGGTAACATCTTTTGACACAAAATAACGATTAAGAGAAATTTGTATCCTTTTTGTGATTTTGTAAACCCTAAGAAAATACATTTATGTGATCTAGGAGAAAGCTTGTCAAGACCAGAACTGAAATTATGAACAAAACATGTAGACTCGAAAACTTTTAGAGGTAAATGATGAAGTGGTTCATGAGGGAATAAAATGGAATGAGGTATTTTATTATCTAAAACCGAAGAAGGCATGCGATTAATGAGATAACATGCAGTAAGAAGAGCATCACCCCAAAAATGTTGAGGAACATCTCCATGAATTAAAAGTGTGCGAGTTATTTCAATAAGATGTCTATTTTTACGTTCAGCTACACCATTTTGTTGAGGTGTATAAGCACAAGAGGTTTGATGCAAAATACCGTGAGAAGC